TCCAGGTGTTAGAAAACATGTTGGTTTGGTACAGACCCCAAAGATCATACTGTACACACCACACCATCATCATTTTTTCAGAGAAAATTGCGATGCAGAAATGATCACTCCCACTAACGAATCACATCGTAATTACAATATTTGTCAAAATAATCGCAAGAGTTTTTTTACCATAACGTGCAGCCCTACCTCCAACGCTTTATTCAGTACTCCCCTAATATATCCATGACTCATGATGACTAAACCAGACTATTTCAGACCGGGGGTGAATAGAGTTGCTGCAGCAGTGGACAGTATGAGAAAAACAATGTATTTTTTTAACATTATTTTCTAATAGACGCCCAAAATAAAAACATGAACCTGAAAATCAGCATAACATATCACCTTAAAGTTAATTGAACTGGCTAATGTTTGCTGAAGGTTTTGTCCTTTTGATTGTCTCCAGTGGTCCCACAGAACAACAAACCTTTGACTACACCTACCAGTGCTGCTGGTCACGTTAAACCAACTAAATTCAAAAACTGAATCTGATGTCTAACCTCTTCAGTACCACTGACCCCCTGGAGGGTGAGTCATTGCAAACTCGTGCTTTGTAGCTAAATGCTAAAAATCCACTGTTGTGAAATTAGCATTTTAATGGTATTGTGCAACCAAGAAAAATGTGCAATGTTGAGTTTGAATATTTCACTCAGTCAACATTGTGAACCTTCTTTAAGGAGTCAGAAAATATGAGATATTAGCAAACAGTTGCTTATTTACACATCCAGCAATAACATAATCATTTATTTGGAGATGGTTGGTGAAATATATCTGGCTCTTTAGCCAAGTGCTCCACTAAGTTCACCAGCTAGTCTCTTAACTGTCTGTCTGTGCTGAGTGTACAATGGCTTTTCAGAGCCTTTTCTCTCTCTTTCTAGCCGAGTAGTTGTGAGCTGGACAGATAAAAAATGAGGTGAAACTTCATTTGAAAGCTCTGTAAAGCAGAGGGGAGCTGCAGACTCAGCTAATTCTTCTGTTAAAGAAGCATCAATCATAGCTGCTGTAAAGCTTCTTAGGGGAGATATAATGGGAAAACACGATGTTAGGGAGAATACATGCGTCGGAGATCATTTTTGACCTTGGAAACAGCAGTTGACAGAACAGTCTGGAGCTTTCGGTCATATCACATGGTCGTCATCAGCAGAAGGGTGTCTGCCCAGTTGCTATGGATTTGCTCATGTTCAAATTAACATTTTTCGGAGGACTTTAATCCCATCCAGGTTAGCGCAAAATTTGAGGTTCAAAGTTCATTTGTGACCTCGGAAACAGCAGTTAACAGTTTTTTCCTCTCTTCACACAAGCAGTTTATTTCTTAAAAACTCTGTTCCTACAAAACTGCTTCTGTCCTCATAACTCTCCTTTGAGACTGATCTGGAGTAGACAAAACTGAGCTGCCTTTTGTTGTGTGTCTTATGGCTCTAATGTCCTCTCTCCTCCACAGACAGTTCAGCAGAGACAGACAGAGAAGGCTGTACAGACAACATGTCCACCAGTACCACCGGTCAACCCTGCAAGCAGGAGAGGAAAGGCAGTTTCTTCAAGGTACGTGCTACTCAAATAATTATGCCCATATGGGGCAAAATCATTTTCACATATAGTGCTGTAAAGACAGAAGGTTTTAGCCATTGTAGTTTACATAAAGATCCTGGGCATATGGGGGTTGGTGATGTGGGTGGGGGGCAGAAAACCTTCTAGTTACAGGCTAACTCCTGGGGAAGATTAAAGAGGAGGAGGAAAGAGGTGGTTCCAGCCTGAGTATTATAGCTCTTTGGTTTTTACTGTCAGGCTTTTCATCTCTGTTTGTTCTAGTAAAGCCCAGTTTCTCCTGCGTTGCTTAACAGAGATTTGTTTTTAAAAGAAGTCATCAAATATTCCCACTTCATCACATCAAGAAATTCTAAACATGATGTAAAAGAAAATTTCACACAGTGCGTCAGATAATTATTTGGTAGTTCTTTCTGAAAATACAGATAGGCTTGTGCTGATTGATCATATGGACTATTAATAATTGAGGAAATCATCGCAGATTACTGATAGTGTACAATTTATTCATTTATTGGGAGGTGTATTTATGAACTGACCATGACTATGAGAAATAAAGAAATTATAAAAAAATACATATATATTTAAAAAATACACATGAAGGTGCCTGTATTGTCATGATGGCAATGAAGACAAGCTCATGAGTAACTAAAATTCCTCTTATTACCCAGTACAAAATAATTACAACATAGTGACTACAATAATAATGAGCAGGAGCAGCATGATCATAATTAACACCTCATCATTATATTAATTAACAATATAATAATACTCGTGATTGTGATAAAAAAGATCAATAAAATAATAAAACAATAATGATAGCAATCACAATGGTCATCATCATCATCCTAATTATAATAATATATTGTATAGTAATACGACTAATAATACTGGGCTCTAATACTTCTACTACCTATAATAATAAGAACTATAACAGCAATAATAAAGTAACATTTTAAACAAAAGCAATAATATAATATAATAATAATCTGCTCATCATTAAGGTCACATTTCACCATGTACTAGTTACACCTCCTGTTTCTCACATGTTGAGAAGTTGATGTCATCCACAGACTACATTGTGGTCAGTTTCCATTGCGTCTTGTCCATTTGTGTAGACATGTGGGTTAGGGTTGACATGGCTAACCAATCAGACAGAGTTGGGTGGGTCTTCGCAGAATGCCGGTGGGGGGAAGAAAATCAAGCTTTACCCAGGTGTTTAGGGGTGTGGACCTAGACTCATCAGGAACCTAGACTCATCAAGAGTGATGAATATGCAATAAGAAGTAAGGGTACTTCTTAAAAAACCCATTTCAGACACTGGATTAGTGTAACATCAGAGATATTACAAACTGTAGTCCTGTCAATACATTATTTCTGTATGATATATCATCAGGACCAGACTGTATTTCTAGCCGAGATCAAGATTAGTACACTTCATCAATAAATACTACAATTACTGCACTGCATTTCCCACAAGTGTCTTTTTAACATTCTTTATCATAAGAGCACTTCAAGTCAACAACCACCATTTAATATCTCATAACACATGCAGTCTTTCCCTCTTGCCGATCTGCTCTTGGCTTTTTTGAGTCTGGGAGGGAGCCTGAAAGAAGAAGAAGTCAAATAAATTGGGGAAGAAAGAGAACTATTAATATAAGACAGGGGCCAGTAAGACCAGGAATCTCCCAGTATAGTAAAATAGGTAAACATAGAAGCAAGGCACTTTCTTAATGTTTATTCTGCCCTCTTTGGTGTCTGGCCAGTCCCAATGCCAAGCACACATACTTTCCTCATGATGTCTGAAGGATGATTTTGTTAGTTAAATGTGGTTTTATTGCATGTCATGGGGCACTTGTATGCCATTTTGTGTCAGTCTCCTTACCAAGTATGGCCTCAGGTTTCCAGTGAAACCTTGTAAAGGTTACCGTGAATTTCAGCAAAAGCTGTTACATTACTATACTCACAAGGTCTGCTTTAGTAAATGTTTTTGTTAGCACGCAATCATTTATCTCAAACACTTTAGTTTTTCATTCATTATTTTGTCTGTAACCTTGTGAGGCAGCTGGACAAGATCACGCAAGAATCCATCTCCATCCATCTCTTAGTCTATTTGCTAGCCCATAGAGTCACATTGGGAACCGTTAATGAGGAGTACCTCAACGTTTTACGTTGCAAATATACAGTTTGGGTCCCCAGCATTTAGAAGATTTTTGTTCGTTTTAAAAATGTCAGAAATGGATAACACATCCACATCCTCGTCCAGATTGTTTTTGTTGGTTTTTAGTAGAATATATTTCTTCACTGAAAGAAGAGCAAGGAACGGCAAACTTTGTGATTTCCCTCAAAACAGCTGAGCTAATTGTTTCCTCACTCTGCTCGAGCAGCTGATGTGCTGTTACCCAACCGAAACCTTGCCAAACTAGACAGATAACTGGGAAATGAAACCAATGACGCCATGAAAAGAGTTAGGGTTGATCTACATGTCATGTTATCAGAGCTTGAAATGTTATAATTATAGTTAGAAGTTATAATTGGTAACATGGCATGCAAGGGCAATTTGAATCTTAGATTCAAGATTATAACTTAAAATCATGTAGAAGAGAAAAGAACAACAAGTCAGATAACTTCTTAACAGGTGGTGCTTGTCCGCCTTTTGAGGCTTATATTTGTGTGTTTGAGTGTGCATATTTGTTTGCACATTGTCTTGTCAGTGCACACACTGAGTAGCTGTTTGATTTAGAGGTTGAGTCAAGGTCAAACTTGTAGTCTTGGATAGTTTTTAGAAAAGCTTGCTCAGTGGATCCAATAGCTGCTTTACAGTGTCCCCAGCAGAAGGAGTAGCTTGTGAGTACTGGTGGAGATATGATCCAACTGTGTCTTAACTGAAAGAAGACCTGTGCAAAAATTGCAGCTAATAACTGAACAAACGCATTGTTGACCAGTTGCGTGAGAAGATGCATGCAGTGGCAATGGTGTCTGGATGCTGTGCTTCCTTTTGGTTGCAAACCCACCATTGACGCTATGCAAACATGCTAGTGAAAAGTTGCATTTCAGTCTACAGCCAGTTTAAAAGGACTTATACTAAACAATCCTACTGTAGAATTGAACACTAAAGGTTCTGTAAAGGCCTGAGTTATTTATATAATGGTTCATTCACAGACAGGCGGCTTTTAGGAATTGTTTCCACTCTGTTTGGTCAATGGGAAGTGGTTAGTTCGGGGGTAGATTGTCTCACACGCACACACACACATACACACTTAAAGCTTGCAGAAGTGAGAGCCAGTTCATACCTCAAGAAAATCCACATGTGGAGGCTGAAACACCTCCATAGACACGTGTATTTCCTCTAATTGAACTGACCTCAGACCTGTTGTTTTCCCTAAAATGACTGTATTGTTCCATGTGCCTCTCTGCAGCTGATCGACTCATTTGCTTGGGAAATTGGCACACTGAAGAAGGAAATGGGGAAAAAGACTGAACCTGCAGAAGGAGACCACAAGACGGATACACTCCTTGGGTGAGCTCATAGTGCATCTGCATAAAAGACGTATGTGTGTGTACTTGTCCCGGCCAGTATTGCCATTTGATTTAGTGTAGTGCAGTTCCCCATGGCTGCCAGCAGAGAGCACCCTTAAGAGGCCTTTGGGTTATGTGAAATGTGTGAAGGGTGATGACCAGATACTGACTGAGTGACACTGCTGTCACTAAGCTATGTCAGGAATCAGCAGATAGCATAACAAACCTATTAGCTGTCCCGTAACTGTTCTGTATTGTGTGTCTGTGAACTTTTTCCCGTAAGAAGCTGGATGACATCTTAAACTTGTAGAAAAACAAGATCCCAGATAAACCTCTGATGCCTAGCATGCCTTCGCTCAATAGTGTGCATTTTCTGGTAATTAATTCCTCTTCTCAGATTCTGTGGAATTTAGAAAGTACCTGTTAAGTGTTGAGGAAGTATGAAAGAGATTGGCCAGCAGTGTGAACTGCATCAATTCCGGATAGTTCATATGTTTTGGAATTATTTGTAACATTAATAATCTTTAGTAACTGAATTCATAGGCTGATGTCAGCACTCACCATTCATATTAGTGCTGCCTACATATTTTAATGTTTGTACATGCTTGTGTAGTGTGTGTGGGTGGGTGGGTGTGTGTGTGTGTGTGATGTCAGTACTTGCTGGAGGGGTGGAAAGAATTGTTTTATATATATATATGTATATAAAACAATTATATAATTATATATATCTCTCTCTATATATACATATATATATATATATATATATATATATATATATATAGTGATTATTATTTATATTGAAATTATTAGTACATTAGTAAAACACACTTTTTTACACCCATTTACTTCCCATTGTCATGCCACTGTATACTTCTACTCTAATACAAGTATTTATGTTTACTTTTGATACATTTTGCTATTAAAACTTTAAACTAGGGGAGCACCAATTGGAGCTGATGGCGATGTTTCAAATGACAATCTGGCTGATAGCCAAAAACAATGTTTTTCTTGTTGTTATTTATTTACACTTTAAGTAAGTATTTATGCCTTGTTGTGACTCAGTATATTCCTCTTCTCATCCACAGACGCTTAACTTGGTTTCTGATACAGTTTCTCCTGTGATCCAGTCATTGCTTCTCCTGATTATTTTTATTTTCGAAAGTTTGATATTTAAGACCAGAATCAGGACAGTTGACAGTTTAATATGCAGACTTTTTAAAAGTGTCTGAAAACAGCAAGCAAGTGACAAACTGACATGCAATAGGCCACGCTCAGACTGCCTTAACCCCTGCTTAAAAAAAACACAGCCTTCATTTAAAGCCAAACTGCCGGTGCAGCTGGGGTGCCAACATAGGGGACAAAAGATCTCACTCCATTTAACAAATTAATTAGTTTTCGTTATTTCTCTCCCTTTTCTGCACAGATTGCAGTAAAAAAGAAAGGTAAACTCCAGTGTGTTATTCACTATGTTCTTTTGTGGCAGCCAAGACTTTTTACGCTTTGTGTTTTGGTGGAAATATTCATTATGTGTGGTGTGTCCAATCTTTGTAGATCCCAATAATCATTAAGTCTGTCACCAACCAAAAAACTGTATGTTCTCCTTCTACAAAGAAATTGCTCATCCTGCCAAAAAATAAACTAATATTAATGGAGCTATTCCAGAAGTTAGTCTGGCATCCTGTGAATGTTCGTGCATTTATTTCATCATTCAGTGGTGGTATGAAAATTACAATCCCTGTAATGCATCTTATATTTGTTTGATCTTGTTTTTAGGCTGGGTGAAGAGGTAGGAGGTCTCTTCCTGCAGGCTTCACCTTGTTCTGGGATGGGAGCGGGGCTGCCTGGAGCCAGAGATTCAGGCTATGACTCCCTCCACCGACGGCTCAGTGTTCTGGACAGACTGGTGCATACACATGCCGTGTGGCTACAGCTGGGCCTCAGCCACCAGGATGCCACACATATCCTGCAGAGCCGGCCCACTGGGGTGAGGGAACAGCAGCACTGTGGCTTCCGGCAACCAACACTGTTGAATTAAAGCTTTCACTTTAGTGTCAAAGTTCACACTTCTTAGCACACACAGCCGAAACAGTAACTTCAACACCCCCTCAGTATAATATACACCATGAACTACAGCCTTCAAAAATCATAGCTACCAATTTACTCCTCTATAACAGTCCTACAGAAATCCAACTGTTTTAGGTGCTCAGCAAGTATGAGACAAACTGCAGTCTACCCAGAGACAAGTGGTTCCTAACCTGGGGGTCAGGTTTATCAGAGAGCCTTCACTCTCTGATAAACAGCCCCGTCCTGCATTAGATAGGAGCTGATAGAAAAATGAGAAGAAACACTGAATTTATATTAAAAAAAGAAGCCTACAAGAAGTAGGTATCATTGTTAAAATAGAAAAAATACTCAATCTCTGATCAGTACACAAACTTCCTGCAGTTATTGTGTTCACAGTTTGGGTTCATTGCACAGTTCTTCAGTTGTTCTCTACTGTTATTGTTATGCATTGGATATAATATGAAATATCCATAAAATATGTCACTTAGTTTACTCAGTGATGGAAAAGGTTGGGAACCAGTGCCAGATGATGTGTAGATGTGATGTAGATGGGATCTAAAAAGTAAAAAATCATCACATTCTTTGTTGTATGATAAATCCTTCACAACAGACACTTTACTCAATAAAGAATGAGGCAGTACTTCTGAAGTATATATGTTCTGATTGGACGTTTTCTTCTCTGGCCTACAGACATTCGTGGTGAGGAAGTCAACCAGTCTGCAGAAGAAAGTAATATCTCTACGCATGGACAAAAACTGCGCAGTTCCTGTCAAAGACTTTCCTGTGAAAGAGAGCCAGTACAGTAAGCATCTTCCACTTCATGTGTTTTATCTGTGTTTTTTCTTTTGAAATGCCTCTGTCAATCAGGTTTCAAAGTCCTCTGCCAGCAGGGCAAACTATTAGAAAGTGTAATGAAATGAACAGGTTATCACGGGAAATACACCTGTACTTGGTGGTAAAGTATGTCTGTGTCAACCTTCAGGGGTTGTTGTGATTGTCAGCAACAAAAAAAATTGGCTCAATTCTTCAGCTGGAATTCCCGGGCTGCTGTAATTATGTAACCTAGATTTTGGACAAAGTTCTCATAAAATTCACGTGTTGTGTGTGTAGAGACCTGCAATTATCATACAGGCCTGAATTATTATGACCATCATACAATGTAAATACAGAATACTGTAGAGCTGTTTTCACTGCAGTAAATAAATGGCTTTCTAAACAAGATGAATGGAAACTCTTCAGGCCAAAAACTGTTTTTTTTTTCTCCTTTTGCTTCTCAAAGTCTCTCGAAGCATTACTCATTTTCATTGTAACCAAGACTGGTTGACGTAAATAACTGCATGCTATATTTATGATGGATTATATCTGTGTAGAAATTGGGTTGACCAAGAAAAAACTGGTACTTGTGAAACTGACAGCAACTAGGAATTTAGGGCTCAGAGTAACTTTTACTCAACCTTTACTCCAGTCAGACCATTTAGAATGTGAATAGCATCATAACCAATAAATTACATACATAGACTCATATATTTGGATGGAGATTTCTGCCAGGACTGAAGTAGTTTTTAATGGAAGGGGTCACAGGAAAGCTTTTAACATGAAGCAGCAGCAGGAAATAGTTGGTTTGCATCAGCAGTCACTGACTGCAGCTCTCATACTGCTGAAAGCCACCAGTAAACGATGAAATAAGGCTGATATCTGAAAGGACAAAGAGGAACAGAGGAGTGAAACTACAGTCCTTACCACAATAATTCAGTTGATGCTACAAAGGTACTTTTACATACAGAGCAACGCATGGGTTGAACAAGATACAAATTATATGAGGGCAGAGACTGTCACAGATTGGCCTTGCTACCAAACTGGACCACAACAATGCAGCATGACACTGTTTCCCCTGCTGTGAGGATGCATTGGAAACAAGGATGAATGGCTAGATGTGGCTTGGTGCCATTAAAACCAACCGAGGCTTGTGGAAACGTTGGATAAATCCAAACTATAAACACCAAAATGCACTTGTTTTGAGTAAGGCCTCTAGCGAGAAACATCCCTTCTGTTGTCTATACAGCAGTGATTCCCAACCAGGGGTTCTTGCACCCCACTCCATTAATAAAAGCTACAAGTAATGGATAAATGGCTGAATGTCCAGTTTCTTCCACTTAGGAGTGGTAGAGTGGCAGTGCAAATGTGAACTTGTCCAAACTGACCTAAACATGTACAGTTCAACTGTATAAAGAACTATAGTGTCCAGTTTAAAATCAGTTTAAATGAACACATTGAGAACATGACGGTGGTATTGGTAAAGGGGTACTTAGAGTTCATTAGACAGAGCTCCGAGTGTATTGGGTGAGGCTTTGTTCTATAGGGAATGCCGGAGGCTTCAATACACTGTATCTCTGTCTGGGAGATGTCCTGGAGGCTTCGCCTTTCAACTGACTACTTCCTCTTCCGTCGCCCCATCCAAATTAGTTTCACCAACTCCACTGTTCTCTTTTTCTTTGTTGTGTAATCAAACATCTCACTGCTCTGAATGTGCAGTGTGTTCCTCTTGTACCTGTGTGCGCTGACACCCGTCTCTGTTGGCACCACACTGGAATTTCCAAATGCTTACCTAGTGAGAGTATGTGCTGCGTGTGAATCAGCGCCTTCTGGCTGCTGGTTACAGGTGTAGACGAAAGAGTCAATAATGTCTCTCTTCTCATCTCTCTTTTGATGAGAACAATACACAATATATAAATAGAGTGGTCAATTCATTGAGAGAGAGGCCTCATGCAAAACAAAACTCTGTAAGTTCTAGTAATAAGTCATTAAATGTAGTAGTTGATTTCCTTTATTCTGCAGCAGTTTCATTTGAAAAATAGCCAGTTAAATGCAAAACATTTTTTTTTTAGATTAAGATTGAGTTAGATGTCTCAAGAACTACAGTTACTTGTCCATTTAAACCTGAAGGTTTTATAACTGCAGAGAAATTATGTCACATTATAAATCTGCTGGAAGAACACAGCACACTATCTATTATTGCTCATTTTAGACACACTTCCTGTGTTCATTTGGGTTTATTGGGTTTATCAGTTGTTCTGTACTGTTACTATCCATAAAATGTGTCACTTAGTCAGGGGTCATCAGTTTACTCAAAGACAGAAAAGGGGTCCCTGAAGGAAAAAGGTTGGGAACCACTGCTGCAGTGCACCCCCACAGCACTGTTTGATGAGCTAAATACTAAATACTCTTCATCAATACCACCGGTCATGTTCCTAATGTGTTCATTTGAGCTGATTTTAAACTAAATGTTATAATTGTTTTTATACAGTTGAACTGTACATGTTTAGGTCAGTTTGGACAGGTATACATTTGCACTGCCATTCTACCACTCCAAATGATAGAAACTGGACATTCAGCCATTTATCTACTACTTTTAGCTTTGAATAATGGAGCTCCCCTCTATCCTTCCACGTTGCCTTTGGCAACAGCAGTAGTACCCCCTGGGATACAAGTACCCCTGGTGGGGAATCACTTTTATAAACCACTGTGCAGTGTTTTGCCATCTGATAAGCCTTCTAACTCATGGGACTATCCAGTTTTCTTGTTTCATATTTCATGTCTCACTGGTACCTGAAGAAACACGTTTTTGTTCAGAACACTCAGGACAAGACAAGACATGTAAACTTATTATGGTAGGAGTCAGGAGTTGTTCCCATTTTTGACCTTAACCAGGTTACTATAATTGATCTGTGGTAATCAGGTTACCTTGAACAGGAGTCAACAGCTATGCTAGCAACACTGTTTGGCTGTGCTTTGAACTATATACAAATGTCAGCATGCTACTACTACTACAGTGTCAATGCTAACATGTTAATGGGGTATAGCGTTTACCGTGTTCATTCGCCTTATTTTAGTGTTAAGCGGAGGCTGATTGGAATGTAATTATTTTTGTGTCCATAAAACCACTAGCATGACTAATAGTCTGGTTAGTGTGTATGAATTCAGAATATTTCTGTCTGTATGTTTATGTTCTATTAAAGGTTCTTTGGTGGCGTTGTCAGTATGGAGCTTTGAATTTGTTTTTTATATCACCACAGTAAAAAAAAAGCATCACTGCCAAGTGTGTACTTTGTTGCAATAAATGAATATCTGTCAGTGTATGTGACTCATTTTACTCAGGAACTTAAGTATTAAACTGTGATGAGGCCTGTTACAGCCTGAGTACTTCAACAGATAATAGTTGTTGTGTCTGTTTGCCAAATATAGGGACATATTTTGTGCAGGTGAGGCAAAAAAGAAGTCTGATTTGCCAGTGTGCCATGTGTCCAAGTCCAAATCTCAATGCAGTTGTAAACGGTTTGGTATGATAAATGACATCAATCACATGGTTATTTTTGAGCTGCTTTGCCTGGGAACAGTTTTATCACACCTTGTTGACCTTGTGTTAGATGAGTCTCCACTCTGGACGCCATGACTCCACTATATCTTAACATAGAGAATAGTCTTGTTTATAACCTTTAAGCTAGCTGACAAAGCTAAAATCCAGCTGTTTAGGTAACTTAAACAGTCTTCAAGCAGTGCTCCTAACGCAAGTAGTATAGTGATTATACTTACCATTACACCTTACCATTCAGTTGGATCAATGTACAATAAGTGTACTCTCACTCTCTTAGTTCCTTAAATGCTTAAATAAATAAAATGCTGTGTAGAAACTGACCTTTGTACTGCAGCAGTGAGTGTGGTCTAAAGTTTAGTTTGTCACATACAAAAGTAACTAACTGACACTTAGCTCAAGAGATCTTTAACTTTCTAAAAAGCAATATTTAAACAACAGTAAGTATGATTATTGGAGCTCATGGGAGATCTGAGATAGATGAGGACAGTTGTAAGTTATGGGATGGCATGCTGCCATCTAAGACATATGTTTGAATTTAACCCACTTCCCTCATTCCCTACGGTCTAAACATCTTTTTTTCTCTTGCTCTCTCTGCATCCTTCACTTTATTTAACCATTTGTTTCCAACTCCTCTGGATTTAAGTGTACTATAAAGACATGATTGGCTAAGACTAGTGTAGATCATCTCATACAAGTCTTTGTTTTCTTTCCTTTTACTCTGAACTAGGGCTGCAGGATATGGTAATAAAACTACTATTACAGATACTGCGATTGCGAAAGAAAATCATGTGACGTGTGACATTTGTTGGGGTCTGTACCAAACAAACATCACAAACATCTTTGCAGAACTACAGTAACTCATTATAATGCAGCTTATTGTGGTTTGGATATTGCACTTGGCCATATTGCGATTTTAGTAATATTGTGATTAATTGTGCAGAGCTACTTTGAACACATCTCTCATTTTCTGTCTTATACACACAGTTATGTACACACGCAAATGCCCGGATTCTCTAGCCACACCCAGATCTTGTTCACATTTGAGTTCAGTGCCAGAGGCCTGAAGCTGTTGTGACTGCATGCCAAGTTGTAAGGAAAACAAGGTCTCGTTCAGCGTAGATTACCAACAGGACACACGCAAGTTTTGCCCCTTCTAACAAATTGTGTGATCTGCTTTCTCTGTGTGTTCTCTTACAGATTTATTAAGCAACAATTTGAGTCCACATGGGGAAAGCGGTTTCCACCACACTCATTGTTGTTGCCGTTTATTCAAATTATTTATATGGCACTTATAATACCAGTCTGACTCCGTTATCCTTACGGGAATTCAAGTTAATCCAGGGATTAGAGAAAATGTTGTAAACATTTCTTTGCATGCATTGTGGCTGTTGTGCTTTTTCTCAGCTATGTCCTCTTTGCCCTTGCCAGTGACATAAGTCAAAACATCATACATTGTTGTATTGTCAGTTAGGGCATTGTTTAGATTTTTTTGCTCAAAGTCACAGGACTTCACATTTTTTTGAACCAGATTCAAGAAATGACCAAACTGTCTTTTTTACATGCTTTTCCTCTCACAGTTCATTGTGTCTTGATCATGTTGTTCTGTGCTCCTACAGCTTTCTCTTTGGAGGGATCAGGCCTGAGCTTTGCAGACCTTTTCCGTCTGGTGGCATTCTGCTGCATAAGCAGGTGAGTTCATCACTTAGAATTACTAATGATTACAGAAAGACATGCAAACCACACCGATGTGGTCCAAGGCAAATGGGCTTTTGGTTAGATGCCTGAAATAAATTTGGATTAACACAAGCAGAAGAGATTTTCACCTTCTGTTCTACAACATAAAATGATCTATCTATCATCTATCCTATCCTGCTAATCTATCTATCTATCTATCTTACCTATCTATCTATCTATCTATTCTATCTATCTATTATTATCTATTATCCATCATCCATTCCATCCATCCATCCATCCATCCAATCATCATCATCCATCCACCACTATGATGTTGATGTTAGAGGGACTGTGATAAATAACTCTGATTTTATGCATATGGGGGTGTGTTCTTTGTTCTATGACAGTTTTAAAATGAAATTATCGCCTTGCTTACAATATTTAAACATAACCTCTGTATTGTGATACGTACGTATCGTATCGCCATATCCTATTGTAACATATTGGCAAAAAAAAGTCTGAAATTTTAAACTGCACCTGGGTGTTGACAGGGGCTGCTTTGGTTTGGTGTGTACGGTTATATACGGATATATTATTGTATATAAAATTGTATATTCTATATAAAATAGTGCACTGTGTACAATATGACAAACACACAGTGTAAGTATATTGATGTATGAAATCAAATCTACTACGTTGCCATAATCATGTAATCCAAAGTACAGTACAGCTCTTATAGACTGTTTTTGTGGGTAGAAAAGGGTCTAAGTTTGCTAAACTAAAAATCATAACAACAAAGGCAAAGAAGGAAGTGTTGAAGATGGAAAAGAGCACTCCACAAAATATTCCACCTTTAACCTTAATCTGAACAAGGAAGCAGAGATCTATTTTTAGATGGATACATATAGTGAGAATATAAATACACGACAAGTATAAAACTATTCCATTGCACAGAGCACCACTGGTGCCAGAACTGGAGTCAGATTTGTTTTATCTTTACTCATTGTTGTGTTATTCACACAGGACAGAGGATGAGACTCGCGTGTTGCGTTAGACTTTTTTTGTTGTCCATCATTTTGACAGGTTTGTGAAAATTCCTTAATAATCCTTAATCATTTTGTGATCAAGTTTTTGGAGGTTAGATTAACACAGAATTTCAGCCTTTACATAATAGGCTAACGTAGGTCATTTTAAAATAAATATACAAGCATGCAAGCATTCATCAGCTGTCCCTCAAGTCTTTAAAAATCCCCCCTCCCTTTTCACATCCTAAATGGCACATGGGTAAAAAATCATAAAAAATCATAACAAGACAAGCCTATTTTAGAGCATTTAATTTTAAAAATAATATTTGATGTGCAACTACATAATGCATTTCTAAGGGCATTGGGAGAAAAGATTACACCGACCATGTGACAGATGCAGATCGACGAGCAGGTTAGGCTTGGAAATATCACAGGTTCGGGTAGGTGGGTCAAGAGATAAAGCAGCATTCCAAGAAAGTTAATTGTAATTAATAACTTACAGATTTTGGAGTTCAGGTGTTTATTTTCATGCTGAGGTGAGATCAGTCAGTGGATTCTCTGCTAAGCATGCAAATCCTGTGGACACATACATTAAGAAACATGTTGAAGAGTTCAACATGTTTCCACCCTCATAAAACAAAGATGATTTTTAAGTATTTAAAATCCTGTATCCTGTACATCCTTATTTACATAGCTGTGATCTTCCTTGTCTTTCTTGACACATTCATTAGTTTCTATCCGTGTTAATGCCACCTGTAGACCAGTGAAATAGTGTGAAAACATTGGCAAGACTGAGTATTGTGTCATTCATGTGCAGGTCAGTCCTTGTGAGCAGGCACGAGACAAACATTAAAAAACCTGTTCTGTAGTACTATAAAGGTAAAAAAGACAGCTTAGCATATTTAAATTACTTAAACTCTAGTTATACCTTGGATTTATTTATTAAAAATACGTGCATTGCATACTTCCTGAATACCCACACTGCTATTTCACATTTATATCTATACAGTTTTTAGGTCACTTTCTGTATCTTTGGTAGTCATCATTTGCACAATAATGCTTAAGTTATCTGTCACATTTAAAGCATCCAGGTTTCACTGGCTTCAGAAATCTGTAGGTATAATTTAAAGCTTTGATCACTCAGGTTTACTTGACCGAAGCTTTTGAAAACGGTGTTTCTTGCTGTAAAAGGTCTTGTAAAAGAAAGCAGCAGGCACGCATTACCCTCCGGCTGTGTGGTTGAACATACGGTTCAGCCAACACCACACACCCAGGCTATTAGGCACGCTCCTTTTACAACGGAATAACTCACACACCTTTTAGGAATAGGCTTTCAGTCCCGCCCTCTTTAACTCACTTTTCTCTGCTGACCAAATCTTTCTCCCTTTCACCCGATCTTTTCTCTTTTTCTCAGGGATGTGTTGCCCTTCACTCTGAAGCTTCCAGAGGCCATCGCTTCAGCCAGGACGTCTGCTGATCTCGAGGAGGTTGCTAAACTTGGAGCAGGTTTGTTTTCTCATTTTAAATATTTACATTTATGGGACGAGCATGCAGTTGGAGGAATGTCTGGCAGACATGGGAGTCTCCAGAAAGGGTTACCATATAGTCTATGGAAAGATAAGAGAATATAGTAGCTCATGTGTGCAGAGGTATTTTTTACTATAAATCTTCCGTATTGAATCAACAGTGACTATTCAGGGTGGAGCATTTATTAGTAACATAGCATCCAAACTGATTTGTGCACTTCCTTTAGCCTCTTGCAGATTCAGAAAAGTAGTGTTTTCCTCTATCCCACATCTGTTGTGTGTAAAAGTGTAGATTTTTTTTTTCCTGAGGCGTGACACTCGTGAAAGCCCATCTCAACCATATTGCCCCCCCTCTCCTGCTCGAAGGATTAAACGGCATGCCAGTGCTAAATGACTCACCCCGAGGGACAAAAGTCTCTTGCAGGCGCAGATCACTGCTGCACGGCTGGGCATGGACCCAGGCAGGATTGGGTGCCTCTGAAGGGTTTTTTCCCCTGCCAGCAGTAGTACTTTGGACATTTTCATTCATATAATCTGACACCTCCATCGCAAAAGAGTGTGAAGAAAGTTTTACTGTAAGAAGACCATGGTTATCATCACAACATTGTTTTATCAATGTATTTTTTTCTTAAAAGATTGAGCACTATGTTAAATTATAGCTGCTTCGTCTATCTTATACTGAATACTTTCTTACTTAGCTGAGATAAAAATAGTGGTTTAAAAGTGTGTAGGTGTTGTTGAGTTTGTCTTCCACACTACTTCCCCTTTTCATAACCCACTCAGAGTGACCTTTTTATCCACTGAGGCTCTGCTGCTGTGACTCAGCTCTGAGCTATTATGTGCACTCTCAGCTGACTCTGCCGGACTTCCAGTGGCCCTCGGCCTGAAAGCCTCTTAAAGAGTTCAAGGTGACACACAATGATTTGATGACCCCCCATGTGGTCTCGAATGATCTACAGACATACATTGTCTCTCTATTTCTCCCTCTCTTGTATTCTTAGTGCCTCTCTCTCTTTCATTCATAAAAGGGTTCCTGTTGAGTGAGGTGACACAATGGTGGGTTTTGTGTCTATGACGGTAACTGTAGTTCTGACGTACATACAAGCATTTATGGCCGGGACAGATGATAAAAGAGTACTGTTGACTCTGACGTCTTCACAGTGTCATATTACCTGTTACATGGCTCTCCACCTGTAATGACATTTGGGTATAGGAGACATCTGCCATCTGTTTGTGATCCCTTGTGAAGGCACCTGTGGTCATTATGAAGTTATGAAGTGAAATGATTAACTTGAGAAACTCAACCAATTTAACCTGCCAGGGGGCCCACACACTTGTTCCCCCAACTCATTTTTCACACATTCCCAGTAACCAACCAGTGCTTCTACCCTGGAATACTATCCAGCCCCAGGTTCACTATATGTCAGTTTGTCATAATTTGAATTTAAACCAATTAAAAGTATTTTTTTTACCTAATAATTAATAATTACCAAACTGAAATCTTCCGATACCATTTCATGGCTTTTATTTTATTAGGTCTTATTATTAAGACCTGGCTTGGGTCGGGTTCAGCCAGGATCATTTAACTTACTCATTTCACTGTCCCCGTAGTGTATGTGTTGCATCAGAAAGCCCTTAAACATTCTCCTTTCATTGTGTTGGGCCCCTGTTGGTCTTGCTTTGTCGTTAATCCAACCTTGAAGTTTGGTTGATTAGTTGCTGTATTTTGACTGAACAGCACAAAAGACAAATTGCATTTATCTAGTGCTCAGTCAGTGGCACAGTTTGAACAAGCTGGTTCTTAAATTTTGATAGTTTAGCATTTCTTTTCAAAAGCTATATCCGCTATGTGCTATATATGCTATGCTATATAATAGCATAGCATTATAAATAAGACAAGAAAATGGGTTGAAGTGGGTTGAACATTTAATCCTGTAGCCTTTAAACAATGACCTGGGAACTTCAGATGGCTGGATTTAACATCATGAAGCGTTGTTCATGAAGGCTGCTAGGGGTAGTTGGAAGATGCAGAAAAAACTAGTATGTTGATCCTGAATTAGGATTGATAAACTACTATTTCCAAGGTCAAGATTGAATTTATGTCCCAACTTCTTATAGAGCTTGTATTTGTTCAGTGGAACAAATACATAAAATAAATCAGATATATTGAGCATTTATCCTGCAAGCAGCACTGCCAACAAGTTAATGGAAGTCAGTCAGGATACTTATCACTTTGTTCCATGAAACTTATGCATGCTCAAATTGAGCAGCTTGCCAAAGCTTTTCAATCATTGTTTTATACACTGTACACTCTCCGTATTTTCCCTGTGAGCAAGGAGTCCATCAGATCTACTTATCTCTGCTCTGCTGCCGGTTTGCCTTACCTCCTGGAAGTCAAACACCGTTTTAACAATGTATTGGTATATTTTCCTCATACTTTTGCATAGCCACGGATGTGGAATACTAACGTTGATAATTGCCTGTTTTATAGTGATGTTTACAGAAGTAGAACTAACAGACTCTGCCACACATCAGTTAATATTATTTTGAGTTTTAAGTTCTCATTCTTTTATCACTCAACTTAAGTGTTGGGAGCGTTGTAAGAGGCATGCAGCACGGCAATCAGAGACAAATCTACTGCCCACATTGGTATGTAATAATTATATGTATGTTTGGTCTACGTATTGGCTATAAATACTACATAAGCCCAGTCATTAATTAAGTTTTTGAAATATTGAAATAAGTGACTGACTTTATGTCCCATACAGAGTTCTAGCTATCTATTTTTGGCTCCAGTTCAGCTGTTATAGTTTTCTAGAAGTTGCTCTTGACTTACCCTTGACTTTCTTACATCAACCACGCCAAACCACATTCCTCTGATCTCAATCCCAGGTGTCTCTGTGTGTGTGTGTGTTTGAACACTGTACAGCAGCTGTGCTTTGCATATACTTGCAAGAACACGCCTATATGTATAACTGAGTAATCAAAATGATTCCACAGAATTAGAAGTGTCAAGAAAAGCAAATTGTGAAATGTCTAAAAACAAAAACAAATCAGAATGATCAAAACTGTATCTAATCATATAATATTAACAACAGAGAAAACAGAAGATATAAATAGAAGTGAGAGTAAACAAGAGTAGAGTAGGTGGCTAAGAGGAAAAACTTTGTCAAAGTGTCTCATAGAGAAAGACAGATCACGCAACTTCTACTGAAGTGTGGGGCGGGAATACTGCTCCAACAGCCCGCCCACACACACATTAACAGGAGTGAGTCATAACAGACATTGAGCGTGAGTGAGAGAGAGGAGGCAGTCGAGTTTCAGCTTGTGCAGACACAGCAGTGCGTCTTCTTCGACAGCATCAGAAGTATACAGAGGAGTTAGACCGAGCGTGAGATCAACAGCTCGTCTGTGTGTCACTGAGCTTCGGGATCACAGTGAGTATTGTTGCCTCTCTTTTCTGCTCTGTAGTTGTGTGAAGGAGCTGCTCTGTGTCTGGCACTAGTATTCCTCATGCGGTATTGTTCCCGCTGGCGTGTGTCTTGTTTTGCTCTGTATGGTACGGCTTGGACTCAACAAGTGTTGTGTTACAGCAGTTTAGTGCTATTTTTCTCTTTGTTGTTCGGTAGGAAAAAGCTCTCCAGCAGGCTCATCCTCTCAGACTGCAAAAGTAAACAACAGTGATTTTGTACTAAGCAGCTTTTAGTGGGTTTTTTGAGGCCAGTTGAAATTGGAGGACTTGGATTGAGTCATTGGGAATGGAATAATAATAAGTGGGCATATTTAAGTTAATCTCTTTGCAATAATTTATATGCAAATAATTTTCTTGCTGCCACTTGGTGTAGCACAATTGGCTTTTAATATATACAATTCTCAGCTACCAGAAGAACAGCGGGAGACAAATAGCTGATAACTGACTGTTTCATTGTTGGTAGGGGTGTAAGGGTATACAAAATACGGTTCAATGTGTGCCAGAGTTTTGGGGGGTACAGAGAGAGGAATAAAAGCTAAATTGTTGATCCATGTACTTTGAAAAACACTAAACAGTCACCTTTAGGCTATTATTCTCGCTGTTGGAGTCAAGCCTTTGCACATGGTCAGAAAGTAATCAGTCAGTATTGTCCCAACTCAATTCCAAAAAATTCCTGTGAAGTAAAAATATTCTGAGTCTGAATCTACTGTCGAGCTGTGGGGAGAAGCCTTTTTACACCTCACTCTGTTTTAGACTACCTCTAGTAATTGCAAATACATTAACCTGAGCTATTTTCAGACAAATCTTTGTCAACAATGGTGACACTATTTCTGAGTAATCACTTCCCTTTGTTTGGTGTTGGTGTAGCGTGCTAGGAAAGCTTTGTGGTCCCAAACAGGGGATTTTATAGTACTGATGATACTATGAACTAGTCAGTCTCATTAGCATAGTTTTGGTAGCTGGCAACTTTCAAAGCTCTCCAGTTGCAACACGTTTGAATGTATGTTCCTGCATGCCCTGACATAGACTTTAATTAGACCACATTAGACTATTGACACTAGTAGTTAGTTCTGTAGTTTAGTAGTATAGTTTACAAAACCAAAATAAGATATGTAATGAACTGAATATGCCAAATTAGTGCCAATTATGATTCATGTATGATGAATGTACGGTCACACTTCTAATTGTTGGTGATGAAAATTAATGCTTGTTCTATGATCTACTGTAAATAACGAAAATGGGTATTTGTTCAAGTGGAAATAAAGCCTTTTCTGATAAGTCTGTTAAATGTCCTCAAGTGATCACTTTAGTCAGCGTCAGTTGGGGCTAAAGAGTAAGTCCTCATCTCTGCTTGAGGCTGGAGGCTGCAGGCTACATAAGCTGCTACTAGTACCCCTGAATCTCAGACTGCATTGTCTGTGGTTTTATTGTGTTTAATGCAGTGGTCCAAGATAGGCCAAGGTAACGCTGGCTTCAATCAACGTACTATTGTACAAATATTTTTTGGCTCATGGCATTGCTAAGCCCAGGATGAGACAAGGCCCAGACATATTATATTTGGCACTTACTTGTTTTATCACACCCTGCTCACCAAATATAGGTAGAATAATTCTCTCACTGTCTCACACAGGCTTCTGGGATGCTCAGTTGTGTCACAGGAGGAAGGGCTCAGTCTCCTTGTCAGGAATAGCTGCTCCTGACAGACCACCTCCCCCTGCCCAGAGACCAGTCTCCTTGGCAACCATCCCAGGGCGCCCTCACCTTAGAACTCGCACCCCATCTGAGCTCGAGTGTTGCCAGTCCAACGGAGCTCTTTGCTTCATCAACCCCCTCTTCATAAAGGTTCACCAACCAGACGGCGACGACAGCTCTACTTCAAATCTCCCGGGCACAGCAAAGCAAGGCCTGAGGGAAGAACCCATTAGCAACAGCCTAGAAACCAACAACAAGGACACTCAACACTCGGGTCCTCAGGTTTGTTGCTCAGATCACAGTGACAGCAGCCAGTCAGGTCAGAGCAACCTGCAGAGCCTTGGCAGAACTGCAGAGCTACAGGACGATAACAGTGAAACTGGCAGCAGCAGTCAGAAGCTCAGTGTGGCAGACACTGTTTCGCGGTCCCCACCTCCTCGTCCACCCCCACCTCGCTTTGCGCCACGACGCTCAGCCCCTCCTCTCCGAAAGCGCAGTATGCCCGAGAAAATCCCTTGGATCAATGTCCCCAAGGACAAGGGGGAAGAGAGGGAGAGGGGCAGCAGCCTCCTTTCTCGTCTGGGCTCCTCGCTAAGCATCAGCCCCTCATCCTCCCCTCCCAAGAGACTCAGCATCAGCTCCCCCATATCCATCCCCCGGCCGTCCCTGCCCATCTCTCTGTCATCTCTCTCCTCCTCCCCACGTCGGTCCAAGGCGTCACCATCATCCAGCCAGGAGGATGCCCAGTGCCACTTGGCGCTAGAGGACCAGACCATTGAAAAAGCCCTTATTAGGGCCAAACTGTCCAGGCGTAATCTTACCAGAACCCCCGCCCAGGACTCCAGCAGTCCTCCAGACCCTTCACTGATTACAACAGGCAAACAGGCAGAGGTGACAGGAGGGGAAGAGGAAGCAGTCGAAGAATGCAGTGGTGGCGGCCAGCGGCTGAGTGACATGAGCATTTCCACAGATTCCTCAGACTCTCTGGATTTCTCTCAGTCCTCAGCCTTCTTTCTTCCTCCTCTCCATGACCCCAGCCCCCCCACTGTGGCTGACTTCAACACCCACCTCCCCCTCTCCCTCCCACCATCCCACCTACCTTACTGCAGCATGGAAGAGGACGACGACGATGAGGACGATGAGGACGAAGAGGAGCCTGACTATGGTGTGAGTCTTGAGAGTGACCAGGACCAAGACCAGGACCTGACCATGGTGCCTCCGGGCCACCGCACAAAGCGTCGCCCCAGTGCCAGCGCTTTGGTCCTGCAGAATGCCCTGCGAGGGCACCTACGCAAGATGAGCGGTGTTTTCAACTCGCTGCTGACACCTGAGAAGAGGGCGATCCGCAGGGTGTTGGAGCTGTCCAGGGATAAAGGCTCGTACTTCGGCTCCCTGGTGCAGGACTACCTAAGCTACATGGGCGAGGGTGCAGGAACCCAGGCTTGGCAGGGCTACGCCTCTGGACTGGAGCTGCTGCAGACTCTGCGGCAGTTTATCACACAGATGAAGAGCTATCTGCGACAGAGCTCCGAGCTGGAGCCTCCAATCGAGAGCCTCATTCCCGAAGACCAGATCGGTGAGTACCAAATAGTTCCACCATGTTTTATTCTAGCTCTGAGGGCTATGTTGTCAACCTTGTTACTTAACTAGTTTTACTAGCAATGCTTGTGCACTGCAAATGTAACTGTTACCTCATTCTGGAACCAATGGCAGCTTAATGCTTTAATTCTAGTGATTATGGATGTATCTTGTGTGCCTAAAGGTTTGGTCAAGTGTTAGATTACTGCTGACATGTTGGACTGCTCGATGGCAACATCTCTACCTTTTAAGCATTATGACCTCCTCCTCAACTTAACAGGGAGACTGGCTGGAGTCATTTTTGTGTGTGTTCGCAAATAATTGAGTATTTTTAGGAAGTGTGAATGAGTAATGTATTTATGGAAAAATCCTAGTTTTTACGGAAACACTATGTCACAGAAAGCGTGTTTAATGCAGACGCAGCAGTTTCGCTTCGGTATCTCAGCAGTGAGGACATTGGAAAACACATGCTCACATGTTTGCAGTTGCATCTGTGCACGTGTGTCCATGTATACATTCCTGGTGAAGCCATAGCCATCAGGCTAATTTTATTTAATTGTGTGTTGTCATGCATGCTGATAAATCAGTATCCATTTGAAAAACAAAGTAAGGACAGTTGAATGCAGAGTGAAATCAGTGGTACCTTTGAAACTGAGTCCTTCCATACTAATATTTGCATTTCCATCTTTTTGCCCTTTATTATATCCACCCTTTATTGCATCTTACAATACCATGACAGCAACATGAAAGGGGGAAGCCAGAAAGAGCAGACACACACACACACACCAGCGACCAGCGAGCGACGACACACACCTGCCGGAAGAGCGTTCTGAATCATTTAGGCCAAGATTCAGTGGCTGGATCAGACCTTGGACAGAGTAACATGTAAACAGAGAGCACAAAGAGGGTTTTATCTCAGGAGGAAGGGGCCTGTTGAACCAACCTGTTTCTACTGGCCCCGTTCAAATAGTTCACCAGAGGGCTGTAATTATGAGTGAAAACTGTTTTTTTGTCTTTATCAGCAGTCATCTCATAACTTAACCTTTTACATTTTCTCGTTAGTTCTGTAGCCAGTGTTGAATTGTTAGCATTATATTTTTAAATGATATCTAAACTTTTTGGAAATGTCTGTTGGTGGCAATATCAGAATTTGATGTGAACAAGGGGCACTTCACCAATTATACACATAAAGTTCGGTTTCCTCATTAGGAGAAGTAATACTGATGATGATATGATGCCTTCTGTGGCTCTGGCGGGAGCTTTCCAAAGTCTGGAAAAAATAATCCTGCTGATGTTATAGTGATGTCATCAACATTAGTCTGTGCTTCAGACTTTAAATTCCTAATGCGTAGAAAGGCTGCATTACAAACTCGAGACGTGTGGTTTTAATGATCACACAGGGGAGGTCTAATAAAAGAATATCCAGTTGCATAAGGGGAAATGTAGGATCCCGTGTTTTTAGAGCTTGACCCATAAGTATAAGTTTTATAAAAAAAATATAATAATAATAAATGATATCATCAACCACTTTTTCTTCTTTTTTTATACGTGTTTGAATAGATTTAAAATAAAGACAGATACTGGGGCACCCAGGTGTTATGTCCCTGCTGTTGGCTAAATCTAATAAAGGCATAAAATGCAGAGGTGACTGAAGATTAAAAGGTTTAGGTTTTTTTTAGGGCTGCACAATATGGTAAAAATCATATTGCGATCATTTTGACAGATGTTGTAATTGAGCTATAATCATTTTTGGGTCAGATTTTCACTGAAAAAACAGATAATGTGACATTAGTTGGCGTTTTGTACCAAACGAACGTGTTTTCTTACAACAGGAGAACAAGATTTGTAGCACTACAATACTTCATTATAATTAACTTTAACAAAAATGGCAGCTTCTGTGATGCAGATATTGCACTTGGCCGTATTGCAATTTTAATAATATAATATTTTTTTGATAATGTTTAATCAACATCTATTAACAGTATCTGTAAATAAAAGAAATCTGGCGTGATGTCTTCTGTTGCCTGTTTTCTGAATGGCATGTTTTTCACAAGTATTACACTGGGAACTGCTGCGGTTTTAGTTCTTGGAAAAGTTGCACAATTTTTTGTTGTGGCAGCTTCAGAGAGTTGTTTTCTGAGTCAAGAAAAAAAAAAAAAAGGCAAGCCAGCCCAGATGCATTAGGGTGACCGTCTGCCAAGTCGTACAATCTCTTACTCCAGTTTTTTTAAACCAGCTCTCCAATCAGAGCGAGAGGGTCCAAGGCAAGCCCCCTCCACTGTCTGTCTGTCTCGCTCTGCCTTCCTCTGACACTCTCTGTTTTTAGTTTTTCTCAATTTTTGCGTTTCTTTTTCTCCCTCCCTCTCCTCCAAATCCAGTCTCTCTCTCCTCTGCCCTCCTTGCTTTAAAGTGATGTGTCGGTATTTTGGGTTTGACTGCTGGTGCTTTCATGCGGTATTTAATGTAAATTATATCTTCACACACAATATGGTCAGTTAGCTGGAATACTACTATAAATACAAGGAAAAGTAATGCAACTTTAGCAAAATTAAGCACATTTAGAGTTGGCATAGAAAGAAAGAAAATAACAAATGTGCAGAAGTGAAGGGAAACACATCCATGATAGGGCAAAGAAAGGACGTCAGTGAATAATATCACTCTTTTTAAGAGGAGACACAGAGTTTCAAATATGGAAGATGTTGTTGTTGTCTAGCGCTCACTCAACAACCCAGCCATGTGTGTGTTTGGGTTCAGGATGTTCAGGCGGGGAGAGGGGAGTGGTGTGGGGGGCAGAATAGAGTTCCTTGTATTCCACTCATCCCACACTCTCCTCCAGCAGACAGCCTGAGACCACCGGTTATGACGCTCTGTATGAGGTGCTTGATAACACACCGGGCTTTGCTGTATTCGTGTGAGAGGGTCTCACATATTATCTTGAATGTAAAAGCTTTCCACTGACAACACAGAAGAACTCAAGCAAAGTGCTGAATATCTGGCTCTCAGGAGGTCTTTACCATCAAGGCTCATTTTCATCAGCAGTTTACAGGGTAGATTTATCATTTTACAACACAGGGTTGTTGAGATTGAGCTGTAGTTCCCTTTGCGCTACTCACAAAAACAAACCTTGAGAATATAATATTGGATTTGTGTAGGGTTATTGCGTCAATGTGATCTAAAGAATCTTGATTTGTCAGGTTCACTAGATTAAAATAGATTATTTAATTAAACTTAAAATAGTTTTACATTTTGGAAATACACATACTTGCTTTCTGGCAGAGTTAGATGAGGAGAGGGATACAACTCTCATATCCAGCCATTCAAAATGACGTAATTTTTACACTTTACTTTTGGACAGAACCAGGGTAGCTGTTTCCTCCTGTTGTCGGTCTTTGTGCCAAGAAAAGCTAACAGGTTTCTCTCATATTTACTGTATAGATCAATATAGTGGTATTGATTTACTCATTTAGCTCTCCCAAAACTTGAAACTATTACCAAAAAAACTATAAGATATATATGTATGCTGTGATATTAAATGCTGATATACTGTGATAGAGGATTTTATTTGTTTAATCTACTCTAATCCATCTAGTAGATGTTTAGAGAATAAACTATTCTTTGCTAATTAATTGATTTATCTAAACACTGATCACTCAACCTTGTTTGCTTGATTGTATGACCCAACAAAAAGCTATTTTTAAAGGTGCATATCATGGAAGCAGGAAGTAAGTAATCTATGACAGGAAAGATTGTAACACCTCTCCTGATTACACCGGGCTATTTTTTACTCCAAGGAGACAGAGTCTTGTCTACATGTCTTCGCCTTTCTGTGTGTGTTTACGTGTGTGTGGTTGGGATGTGTTTTTACTTTGAAACTACATGCTGTGAAGAAACTCTAAACTAAAAAAATAACAAGGTCCCGGCCATAAATGCCAGCAAGGAGTGACAAACAGAAAAGAGTAAAAGGTATGTGAGGATTACCACTTTGACGTTACAGCAGTCAAGGACAAGATGTTTGGGTAAACACTAGAAAGGGGACAGGGAGGATGTTTGGTGAGAGGATGTTTATATCAAGCGGGAAGAGGCCCTGTTTCGTGGCGAGATAGTGCCTTTTTGTGTGCGACTGCTTTGGCTGATAAGTTGACCTTAAGACGCCTGTGTATTTTTTACTGTCTGCCTGAATTCACTCTGAAACTAGGAAACAGAAATCCAGCAGTCAGTCTCGGCCGTTCCTCTGAAGTCTGGAAAACTAATGACGACAGAAAACTCACACTCTGACAAGCCTGCAAGACACGCAAGTCTAATTTGTCTGTAAATCTAGACTTATCTCCCCTTTAGAAATACATGAACAGAACCCTTAACTTCATGCCAAGAGCGAGGAATGTTGGCACTGCATTCCCCTGTTTTTAATCACTTTAACAGACCTGTGGGGAGTCCAGTGATTGTTGAGCTCTAGGGGAAGTATTGGGGGACAGGGAAAGCACTAGAAATAAGAGCTGTCTGTTGCTAAGCTGAAAAGGGTGCATACTGTGCACTTAAAACTTGAGACAAATTAAAGCCAGACAGATGCAGATTTTAGAGTGGAGAAATTCACTGATTACCTCTATGGTGGGCGATACAGTGAATGTTTGAGCTGGAATGAAAATAGAGCTTTTCTATGGGGATTGTGCACTGATACCAGGATGCAAAGGTGCTCGGAAGGCTGCTGTCTTTAACAAATAACTCTATCAAACAATATTTAAGTGAAATATTCTTTAACACGTTGCGTTCAATAATTGAACATATACATTAGCAACCAATCATAGCTGACAATTCTAAGAGCGGCTTCTTCTCTCTTACTCTGTGCTGATTGCCACAGTATTGTAAATGCCAGTGCACTCTGCTGGAGAAACTTTGTAGTGACACAAATTACCACAAGCAATTTTTCTGCGTTATATACCAGGGATATCATATTGGTGCGTTGTAGCGGTTGCTGGCTTTAAGCCGGGGTGGCAGTCACACTCTTGGTCTGACAAATAAGTTATTTGATAGTACAACCAGCAAACCCAACAAAGGAGTTGATACGGCCTCAACCCCTTGCACTAGCAGTACGAAAATACAGCAGGCGAGCAACACAACACAACAAGAATCCCAACACCCACTTCCTTAAAGCTGCACTAAGTAACTTTTATAAAGATATGTAATTTCCCCTCTGTGGGACTGATAAAGGCTTATCTTATCTTATCTTATCTTAAATTCAGTTTGTCATATTTGCTGAAACTTTCACTATATCCTGACAGTAAAACATGAGACAGATAATGTTCATGTTAACAATCAGGTTCCTCTGGCTCCTCCTAGTGCTCGTAATGACATTTACAAGTCCACCAGGCCTGAACAAAAACAACCCAAAGTGATATCTTCAAATGTCTTGTTTTGTCTGATAAATTTTTCAGAACCCAAACATATTCAGTTTACAATGACACAAAACAGAGAAACGTGACAAACCCTGCCCTGCTGTAAGCTGAATGAAAGGGATGAATCAGCAATTGTTTTGATAATCAATAAGTTATCCTTTATTGATCCCCATAGGGAATTCATTCTCCAGATTTGACCCCAGATTTGGGGCCAACTTCATTGTTTATGTACTTTTTCCAGCACATTTTCCCAAAATTCAGAGGTTTCTCAGTTCAGTAAATTGATTTCATCTTGAATTTGTATCCTTTGCATTTATTTTCAAAGCCTATTTTTCAGCCGAAGAGCAGGCCACAATGTATTTCACAGCACTTATTATTGGTGTATGTGATAAATAAACCTCAGAATGCTTGCAACCTTTAAAAAGGAGTGGTACAAATGGATAATATTATGAAAATGGGAAAAGTTTGACCTTAAAAAGCAAGGAAGTGGTTTCGGGCAGTAATGGTTGCCATGTTGTACCTGAGACTTACCGTAAAAACATTTGGTTTTTCCTTGTAGCTGCTGCAGGTTGTGCCAGGAATCTACACAAAATGCCTTCATAAATATTCACTGTGATGTTGTTACGCTCGCTGTTTTTTTCCGTCTCAGTGAAAGAGGAGTAAATAAAGTTAGGTATATAAGTATGGGCAGGACAGGCAGGTATTTTGGGATTTCACCAGGAACATAAAGTGATGCAAAGATAATTGTCAGAATAAGTTGAAAATCATCATCCTGAAATACTGAAATGAACTGGCAAGGACCAACAGAAACAACAGTCTTCACTATGTGCCAGTAAAAACTAGTGGCACACAAAAACAACACTGGCTGTGCTGATGGCGGTTCAGCTCGCCGGCTGCCCTACTTACTGGCAACTCTCTATAGCTACTATGTGGTTATGGAATGAGGAAGTGAGATAGTGCTGTCATAGTCATTCCCAGCATTGGTATCAGCAGGTAGAAGTAATGCAGGTGTGGAGAAATTTCCCATTAAGACTAGCGAGGAATTCAACAACCTACAATGACAGGCTGACAGACACTGATGGCTGGGAATGGCAGATGCAGCTGGATGTCGTCCGGCTGGGGCGGAAAGTAAAATGTGTGTCTGCAGATGTGATCAGCCGAAAACCTGCTGACTTCACCCTTTCTGGAGGAAAGTCAGCAACACACACAGACAGCACACACACATGGTCCTTATTCAGCAGTGCTGTGGTTTGGCCTCCCTCTCTGCATCCATCCTGTATTATGATATCATGGTTTGTGTTAGTCAGACTGCATGAGCTGAGCTTGTAAAAGCTGATGTTAACACTGTTGCTGTGTTGGACTTCACTGATGGTGAACAGTGAAAGCTTGGATTTCACACATGTGCTGATCTGACCTTGATGGTCTCCAGGAAGCTTGTAGGTCCAGACTAATGCAGATTTGGCTCACATTGTCCACAACAATACTGATAAGTAATGACAGGCAATGAAGTGACATCAGGACAGACTTCCAGTAAACGGATTTACAAACGGAATGCTGACACATCTACAGTTTATGGTCACCAATAGCCTTCAGATGGGGTAATACTAATAGTTACCAGTCAGAGTGATCTATGGAGCTTTGTACAGTGCTGTTATCTGAGAGTTGTGTTGTCCCGCAGATATCAAACAAACGCAGGAGGGGCAGCGCAGTTCCTTCCAAATGTCTGCAGTGTTCCTGAGTACACATCCAGCTGGCAAAGGTTGAGCTTCTGTGGTCTCTGCAGTGATTTCTAGCTTCTCCTGCAGCAAGGGTTTAGGGTTAGGGTTGAACTTTTCAGCTTTGTTTATTGGTCCTTGTGCTCTGCCTCTCTACCAGAGCTCAGTCCGCTTTATGTCCATTGAATGTATCTCTAAATCAAAAAAAGAGAAGACACTGGCCTTTGCTTCACAAATTCCTCTTGTGAAGTTCAGTGCGAGTTCAGTGTTCCTTTCTTTTCCATGTTGTCACATTGTGTAAAACAAATCACATGCAGCGCTGTAGCCAAGGGCATAGTTCAGCACGCACATGAGAGGGCATCTTAAAGTTCAAATAGAACAGAGACATAAATATGTTTTTTATTATTAATTTCATGAATATACAGCTTGAAACCAAACACAGAAACACAACTAGCTAGTTTGTGTAGCACCGTTGAATGCTGCCTTAAAGCCCCTGAAAGATTGGTTTTTATCTCCAACATTCATTATTTATGACTAAATATTAGGAATGAGTGAGTACACCCTTATCTGTACCTGTTCAACCAACTGAATTCATACTCTGAGTGGGCTGGGCTTAAGCTGTGAGTGGGTGGGACTAACAGGAAGTCATTAATTTAATCCTGATATTGCTTGATTGATCAGAAGTTTAGAGATTTATACTTTAACACTTAGAGGAAGACGCTCATTGGAAAATATGAAATATGTTTTCAGGGCTTTTAATGTGTATGTTCTGTTGCTTTCCTAGCCCTACTTTATGCTCCTCATGTCCCAAAATGTGAAAAACCTAGAAGGTCATTTAACATCACTTCCTGCTGTTTTGAAGGAATTTCCAGAACCCTCAAAGACTTTTACAAACATCTGGATGAATAAATATTCCCTTCGCTGGGGTTAAAAAACATTTTTATTGTGCATCAAACAGAATCCTTTTTTGTTTGTTTTTTTGGGAAAAGATTTTTTGACTTTGGCCTCGATAAAATCTTTGTATTGTTCATATGAAGTTGCAGTTGACTACTGAGCAGTGTTACATTTGAAAATGTGTCAACAAGTCCAGCCAGCTCACCTGTTTCCTCCTCTCCCCAGACCGAGTCCTGGAGAAGGCCATGCACAAGTGCGTCCTGAAGCCCCTCAAACCGGTGGTGAGCGTGGCCCTGCAGGAGTTCCAGGTGCGCAGCGGGGCGTGGCAGGAGCTGAAGGAGAACCTGTCGTTGGCCAAGGCCCGGCAGCCACAGGAAATGGGCGTGGCCGACGCGCTTCCCCCGGACCCTGTGGCCATAGAGAAGATCAAGCACAAGTTCCACACCATGAGTAAACTGTATTCCCCTGAGAAGAAGGTCACCATGCTGCTGAGAGTCTGCAAACTCATCTACACCATCATGGAGGACAATTCAGGTGAATGTCCCTGCAGTATAATACACACATTAACCCTACAATCACTAACTAGAGTTTAGCATCAAATGATGGAACAGAAACTGCAGGATCTCACGGCGCTGCTCTGTCTGTCTCTCAGGCCGTCTGTATGGTGCTGATGACTTCCTGCCCATGCTGACCTACGTGTTGGCGCAGTGCGACATGCCCCAGCTGGACAATGAGATTCTCTACATGATGGAGCTGCTGGACCCCTCACTGCTCCACGGAGAAGGTCTGTTTGTTTAAACTGGAAAACCTCCACCATAACCACCCCACACTCTGATTAAGAACATGAAGCCACGAATGTTTGATTTTAACCCGCTATGTCAACGTGTCCAGGTGGCTACTACCTGACCAGCGCCTATGGAGCCATGTCCCTGATCAGAAACTTCCAGGAGGAGCAGGCAGCCAGAGTGCTGAGCTCTGAAACCAGGGACACACTCCACCAGTGGCACCGCCGACGCACTACACAGCGCTCCGCCCCGTCCATTGATGACTTCCAGGTAAAACACAGTTCTACTGGAGGGGTGGCTGTGGCTCAGAGGCAGAGCAGGTCATCCACTAATCGGAAAGTTGTTGGTTCGATCCTGCCACATGTCGAAGTGTCCTTGAGCAACCACATTGCTCCCAATGCTGTGCGTCGGTGTGTGAATGTGTGTGAATGTGAAAGGGTGAATGTGGCATATAGTGTAAAAGTGCTTTGAGTGGTCAGAAGACTAGAAAGACACTATACAAGTACAGGTCCATTTACCTGTAACATTTATCATTTTATGTCTTATTTTTTAATAATACCTTTTTTTGGCGTTGCAGGGATATACTTGTAACAGCTTCCTTTTATAATGTGCCATAAAGGGTAAATGGTAAATGGACCTGTACTTGTATAGCGCCTTTCTAGTCTTCCGACCAGGGTACATACATACATACATACATACATACATACATACATACCAACAAGCAAACTTAAAAACCACAGAAACACACTAATGAGGATGTTCAACAGCACATTAATATTTTTACCTCTACTCCTTCAAAGAAAATAAAACAAACAAACCTAAAGAGAAACCTCACCGTACCGAGTTCATTTATTAGTTTGTGTGCTTGAGAAAGACCCCAGACCTTGGAGAATGCACTGGACCTCGCTTGGAGAACTTAACAAAGTGAAGCATGTAATGATGTGTATTTTTACATATACCTTTTCACTGTGCAAAACACACGATTAGATTATAAATACATAACAAATGGACACCCCCAGCATCAGTGTCAGTCTGTGATGGAGCTACAATGTTTGTCTCATGTTTTTATCTGACTGTCCCTCAGAACTACCTGCGGGTGGCGCTGCAGGAGCTGGACAGCGGCTGCACGGCCAAGACCCTTCAGGTCCGACCTTACGCCACCGTGGAGGAGGTGTGCCAGCTGTGCGCCTACAAGTTTAAAGTGCCAGACCCCGAGAACTACGGCTTGTTCCTGCTGATGGAGGGCAGCAGCCAACAGCTGGCGCCGGACAACCACCCTCAGAAGATCAAGGCAGAGCTCCACAGCCGCTCGCAGGCCACCCCCTTCCACTTCGTCTTCCGCCGCATCTCCCCCAGCGACACCTCGCCTTCGGCTCCCCTTGACCCCACACCAAACCTCAACGACCTCACCGTGACCTCTGACGCCCAGGCCAACCTGAATGAGCTCAGCACGGACCTGTCAGCCCCGACCCCCCAGCCCGCTCTCAGCACGGGCCTCAGTCCTGCTCTGAGCCTCAGCCTGCCGCCCAGCCACCTCAGTGGCGACTCCATATCCATATGACTGCAGCAGGGGGGCCGACTGAAACTTTGAACGGGCTCTTTGTGTCCCGGCTGTGACAGTATCGCCCATTATCTCGAACAAACGTGGTTCCGTGAGAGCGTAAATGGTAAGCATGTTGACAACTGGGCCAAACGCTGTGCCAGTCTTTACAGAGCCTGACTTCTCCTTTTGATGGCACGTCTGTCTCAGTCAGCATCCCCTCGCTGGAAAGTTCTGTCTGACAGACGCGGGTGAAAGAGGAAAAAAAGAAAGCAGGGAAGGAAGTGAGAGACATGGAGCTATTTTTCTTTATACATCCTCGGCTCTAGATTTGGCTTCAGAGTTTTCAAAGTCTACTCACATAGTTAATGTTGGAGGTAGTGTAAAGACCACACGAACACTTAAGTGTGTTCACAGTCCTGCCTTAATGCTGGAGCTTCAGGGTAAACCTTTAGGGTGCATAGAGGGAAATCAGATCTCAGACAGACGAGAGACTAATGTTTGATCAATCACTTTAAATACACAACAGATTTATTTAGAAGATAGCTACGACTATGATTTACTTGTTACAGTTGCTGGTAAACTGTGTTTTTTATGTTGTTTGTGTTTTTAAACTCTTAATCCTTCAGATTGTTTTTATGTTTTGATGGGTTTGGGGACACCCAGTGGCGGCCAGTGCACACAGCAATGTAATATATACTGCAATATATATGTTTTTGCCTGCCTGCCTTTTCTGTATTGACTCCCATTAGTGGATAATCCATTATATTAAGTCTATGCTGTGATAATCTCTATCAACAAAAAACAACAACAACAACTGCCATCTGGTGCCTACATTACCCACAATGCAACTTCACCACAGACTGTTTGGACAGAGATTGGGGTGTTTAATGCTAGTAGCAGCTAATGTAGCCTCAAGCAGAAATGGGGGGGCGGGCTACAGAGGTCTCCACACCCTCAGATGTTTTTTCATTTTCAAATTTGGTGACTCAAGTGACATCACGTGAGGCAGTTTGTCAGCCTTCACGCAGCTCCCTCTGGAGCCACTAAAGGAGTCGCACTTTCCAAGACCTGGAAACCCACATTGATGTGTAAAATTGGTGGAGAGCCCCTTAAAGGAAAAACAGCTTCATTCTGTCAAAGCCTGCTACCAAAGGTGTAGCGCCGTGGAAAACAGAGCCGTTTTCTTTGTATGCTTGTTGGAATACCAGTGCCTACTTTTCTGTTCTGACTTGAAACTGGAAGATAATCCAGTGGCAGTGTATTTCTCTGTCATATCTATGCTGTGGCTACGGCAGCCAGCGGTTGACGAGCTGGTTTCTCCCTTCTGCTTTCGACATGCAGCATTTCCTGCACACTATGTCGCATATCTGCAGGTTGATCCCAACATTATCAATGAAGGGCATAATAATATATAATGAGGCATTTATACGTGATGATCTTAAGGATTAACATTTTAAAATGTGTAAAATATTGTTCTTGCATGTGTTTAAGTGTAATGTTAGAAACAGGCAGATCTGCCAGTGTTTAAAAATGTAACACTCATTTATGTATTCAGTGATTATCCTGGTGATATGAAAGATACTGTATCATACCTGATATATATTGCTTGTTAAAGGGCATCTTTTCC